TACGTAAGAGATGTTGTTTCTTTCACGATGTATACCTTGTAATATACAATATCAAATAAAGAAATGATGTTTACCTATTGGGATAACCCCCCCAAAAAAAAAAAAAACATTGTATTTATTAAAAAAATATATTCTTTTTTTTTTTAAGTAAATAAATATTATTACTTTTTAATCGTAAAATTGTTTAAATTTATATATGAAAAAAGTGATAATATTTCTTATATAATTTGCTAAGCTAATAAGTCTAATATTAGTTTGCTTATAAAAACTATCTAAATGATATAAAAAATAAATATTAAAACCAATATACATCTAAAATAGTGCTAAACAATTATAAATATCTATTTAAGATTATATAAAATAAAATTTAAAAAAATATCAAAATAAAAAAAAAAATATTAGACAAAAGAAAAATAATAAAAAACTAATTATAATACAAATGATATCTAATATCATTTTAATGATTCTATTTTTCTGAAATACCATTGCACTTTTTGGAATAGTTAGGCTATAGCTTATAATATATAATAGTATTGATGACATATTTTTTTGATAGCTGTTTCTTGAGTTATTGTTAATAATAATGATAATATAATTGTTTGTATTTAAATATTTGATAATAATTAAATGAAAAATAAAAAAAAATGATTATTATATAAAAGATATATTGAATTAGGCATATCATGCTAGTTGATTCATTTAATTGAAGTAGAGTACTATTTTTAAAAATGGTCAGGCTACTGTTTAAAATAAATAATAGTGTTTTTAATATGTTACTTAGATTATATATTGTTGTTGTGATTATTAATATTTTGTTGATATATTAATATTTTGTTGATATATTAATTGGTTTATTTTTTTGTAGTATAATCTTGTTTTGATTGATATTGTCAAAATAGAATTTGTTTATATCAATTATTGTATAATGTTTTGGTTATACAGAATTGCTTTGAGATTTGGTAGTATTTAATTGGTTGAATTTGAAATGTTAATTAATTGACAAGAATAAATTGATTATAATTTTTTGATAAAAAATTTTTTGATGATACAACAGAATATGCTAAGCGATAATAAAGAATAAGTATTGAATATATTGTTGGTGTTTCAAGTTAACAATATAAATAATTTTAATATGAAGTTTTATTTTTTTTTGATTAAAAAGAAATCCTTCAACTAGAAAATATAATTATTTAAAAAGGTTTGTATATTAAAAAAAAAAAGAAAAAAGAAAAACTCCAAGAAAGATTTATAAAAAAGTAATTGTCATAAGCTTTTTCTTATATAATTCAAAAAAAAAACAAGATTCTCAAACTTGCTTTCTCCTAATCAAAGGTCTTATTCCAATATATCAATATATTTCATTAATTTTTTTAGGATTCTTGTAGTAAAGAAAATGAAGATATGAAGAACTTTTGGATATTGAAAGGTAAAAAAAATATTTGTTTCTTTAATTTTGAAGAAAAATTACTATAAAAGGAAATTTTTTAGAAAAAAGTTATGTACAGGAATAAGTTTTTTTTTTTTATTAAAAAAAATATTCTTATAAATTTGATAAATATATTTCTTGTATTAATTACAAAAATAATAAAAAAAAATCAAATAAAGATTGCATTATACTTTGTTAATTGAAAAAACAATGTTATTAAAAAAAGTATATTATAATAGAAATAATGAAAATATTTATTTTTGAATTAACAATGTAAGCAATTTTAATTTATTTGATTAATTAAGTAATAAATTTTTTGAGTTTAATTTATTTAATAAAAATGATGGCACATGCATTTGTAGATCACACACTTTTTTGATGGACTCTGTAAATTTATCTTCTCCAACTTCGAATTTGTCTCGATCTTCAACCCCAACAGTCCCGGTGTCTAACCGGCCTAAGTCACCTAGGGACTTTGTTACACGCGTTTTAAGCCCAAAAGTTGCAGTCATCTCTTCTCCCGATGCTGACCAAGTTTGTCAAGCCAATAACTTTCCTGACTTTTTCACATTAATAAAGCCCTTCGGTGAACGCATTGAAGGAAAAGGTTCGAAAATTTTTTTCTAATTTTCGAACCATTATGCACAATTCATATTTTTTAGCTAAAAATTCGGTTTCTCAATGTTAGTTACTGCTCGTGATTCGCAGGGTTTACCAAATCCCATAGACAACTTTGTAGTTCGATTTTCTAGTTTGACAAGTTTAGAACAGCCAGATGTTCAATTAACTTCTCAAATTCTCGCAGATAAAGTAAAATCGATTAGTAGTAACTCCTTATCAGTAGATTTGCCGCAAATCGCAGCGAAAGCTGATGTTACAGAAAGGTATTTGGAAGGTATTTCCATTTCTATCGTCCATCTTATTATAAAATGAGAGATGACAAAAACTTTATTACTTATATTATTGTCGTATTTAGTAAGCCAAGATGATTTAACACCTTGGTATGCAGAATATCGACGATTATTTTTTACATTCACCGGTGTTTCCGAACACGAAACTTTTGAACACCCTGTGGCCTGTATCCTTTATAATTACTTGATTTCATTCATCGATGGTGTCCTGATGTATTATCAACATAACTTATATCACATCAGGCATCATCGCGATAAGTTCATCAAACAAAGAGCCCATTGCTACACTTTCACAAATGTATAATATTACAACCCCTGCTCCTATATTTGATAAGGGTTTCATGGATACAAATATTTTGAAATATTATGTTCTCTTACATGACAATCATAAAGTGAGCCTAGAACAGTAAGTGATTTATGAGGCTTATGTGATACGACACCTAATTAAGAATTTAATACTATTTTATTTTACACTATACAACTAGCTCCGAAGAGGTTTATGATAGGATGAAACGTAGCTTTGGACTCCATTGTCATTTATTAAAATTAAATTCGATTCCTCCCATTTTAATTCCCGAAGATCGTGACTCCTTTTCTATTTCTACACCTCCAGTGGACAACAGCGAATCCACATCTGATATATGGACCTCATATGTCAATGAGTCAAATATTCTCAATGCTTTACTTTCTACTTCTTCCTCTGCACCGAATACTACTTCAATGGAAATTTATTCACGCCAAAACTCGCTTTCAAATTATTCTTTACCTCTCTCACCGACCACATCAACTTTAAATTCACCTACATCGTCATTTACCGAGGACATGTTGCTTAGTAAAGAGGGTGGCAATGATTCGCAAGTTTCACTTGGTTTGGGCAGTATATCTTCAATGGTAATTTACGGAAAATATCTCAGTGAAGACGACATTGCAGGCATTCATACTTTTGTAAGGGAATTAGTTGTGCAGAGCATTGTACCTTTCATGGAACGAAACATACAATACTGGAATGAGCAGGTAAATTTTTCTGGAACCTAAGAAATCAGCATTATTAAAGGCGAATTTAATAAGGGATTTCATCTTTAGGTTGCCTCGTCAAGACGGGGAATCGCAGGTCGCATTTTCAGTGCCAGTAGACGATATTTTGGCGCCGGAAAGGCTGCCGGGCCTGTTCAACAATCATCCTACGCGTCCATAAATAATTCATCAAATACAATGTCAGTTCTGTCATTTATTACTTTTTATTATCGCATTTTGCCATTTAACTGACTCGAATGTTGATATAGATATCCTCATAATTCGCCAGAAGCTCAAATGCGTAAATTGGCCGATTGGTCTTTTATGTTGAGAGATTATAAGTTCGCGCACTCTATGTATGAAACTGTCAAAAGGGATTTTTCTGCCGATAAAGCGTGGAAATATTATGCCGGAACGCAAGTAAATGTTTTCAAACGTCACTTTATTCACTGATGAACTTTTTACTTAGATAGAACTTTCTTAAATTGAAAGGAAATGATTGGTATATGTTTACAAATAGCCGCAACAAATATTAGTAACCGGACTGATTTTGATCATTACTTTGAACACGCGGTAAATGCGTATTACAACCGATCGAAATCTCCGTTCTACGCTACCAGGGCCACCATTTTATACTATGAATTGCTGAAATTCAGAAATTCTTACAAGGAGGCACCGCCAGCATTAGTACGATTGACTGGCGAGGTGAGTTATTAGGTTAATTTGCAAGGATGGATTTTTCGAATACTTTGCTTTTTACTCAACTTCTTTTTTTTTTAGGATTCTGATCTGAGGAGTGGACTGTTCTTAGAACAGGCAGCTCACGCCTTTTTGAGGTGTCCAAGACCAATGGTTAGGAAGTATGCTTTCCATTTGGTTATGGCGGGTCATAGATATGGGAAATGTAATCAGGTTAATTGAAATGTTTTTCTTAGACTTGCGGATCTCATAGTAAGAGCATTTCCTTAACCATTTTTTATTTTTAAAGCGAAAGCATGCTTACAGATGCTATCTTGCTGCTTTAAAAGTTTTTGATAATCGTTCATGGTCATTGGTTGAAGATCACATTCATTTTGCTCTTGGTCGACAATCTTTCCATATGGGAGATCTTTCCATGGCTTTGAAATTTTTCGTGAAGTTACTGAGAGAAAGCCGCCAACCATCAGCCAATCAAAGTGCTTATATGAGAGAATTCTTATATATGTATAAGGTAATGACTTTGAATTTGTTAATGGTGGTTAGGTGATTGTGCTGATTCTTCATAATTTCGTCAAAGCAATATTTAAGTAAAACTGGTAAAGAACCCGAATTTGATAGTGAAGAGTTACAAATCCCGATTATTGAAGATTCTTCGGTCAAGGTTGTTCTTTCTAATTTGCAGTCTATAGAATATGACGACGTTTGGGAAACAATGGAGAATGAGTTTTTAGAAGAAGGATTTTCCGGATTAGATAATTACGGAAATCCACGAAAAAAACCATCAACAATAAGCAGCGATATTCACAGGACCATGTGCGCAGTAGGAGGTATTAAATTTATATAATTCCAACATTCATAGATTGCTTAGTTACTTTAATATTGATTATGTTCACTTTATCTGAAATACAGAACCATTCTTTGTACAATTGATGCTCTATAATCCAATGCAAATTCCAATCAATGTAAATAATTTGATGCTGAAATGTGAATTCATACCTCTTTCAAGTACCGAGGAAACTTCTTCCGAGTCAAATGGTGACCTGACGGATGATGACAAAACTCGAATAAGTGAAAGCGCCGATAGTGATGATATCTCTCGGTCTTCCAATTTTGAAGAATACGAATTGGAGACACTTCCTGATGTTTCACTGGAGGCATCTGAAAAGAAAATGGTAAAGTGGTTTCATTCTTGAGTTTGACGAAATTTTGGAATTTAATGATGACTCATTAAGAAATTTATTTAGATTTCTCTACGCGTGTTGCCAAAAAAACAAGGGAAAATCAAAATTCTGGGTCTTAAATATATTCTTAATTCCCTTATTCGTGGATTAAAAAAATTTGCAAAACGCGGAAAGCGACTAAATCAAACGAAGGAACAACGTTTGAGTGTAGTCTATGCCTATGACCATTCTTTGGATCTCGTTGTAACATCATCTATGCCATTACTTGAGGTAGCATTTCATTCTTTTCCTGAAATGTTATTGTCGGGAGAAGTTGCGCAAGTCTTTCTGGAAATTAACAACAAAGGCCAGGAGGAATTAAGGGATTTACGTGTTAAAATGAGTCACCCAAGTTTCTTTTGCATTGGTGATGCCAACATGTTAGAACAGAAAGTGTACAGTATGTCATTCGACTTTTTGATCCTTATGTATCCGAAATTGTAATTGAATTCGACCATAATTTTCTTTTAGATGATGATTCAGAAAGAGGATTCTCCACCGAAAGATTGCTCACAAGAAACAAAATTTTTAACACGAGTATCAAAGACATACCTCTACCACCTCAAGAGAATGCAGATCAAAACCCCTCTTTATTCCTACCTCCTGGTAAGACAACGTTGATTCCCATTTGGATTAGAGGTGATCGCATCGGAAAGCACGTATTTCGATTTTTGTTTACATATGGATTGGAGGTAACTTTTTCTTAGTAAACATCGTATTATTATTTAATGGATATAAATCAAATAAATACAATATTCTTAGAAAAACAATTCAGCAATGAGATACAGGAGTCTTCGTTATACCAAAATGATCCAAGTCCTTCCGTCCCTCAAAATAAATGCATTTACCAGGCCAAGTACCCGCGGGTTAAATGAATTCATTTTGGGCATCGAGGTTCTTAGACATCATCAAATTAAAATATACCAATATCACATCTCAGATCGGCTCATTGTATTGTTCTCCCTTTGATCAGATTGAAAATTTACAGACCACAGCAGAATTTCAATTGGCTCAACTTTCATCGATCAGTCCATCATGGACGATATCATCAGTGAAAGGAATTCCCGGGTAATTACTTTTTTTTTTTCATTTCATTTTTTTATTCTGTATTTTATTTTTAAATTTATATTGCTTATTTCATGCCATTCTGTAGTGAAACCAAAACCAAATTTTTGATATCTCCGCGTCAGACAATATTTACTTACTACCGAATAAAAAAATCAGAAACATTTCTTCTTATAGAACCTATAGACGCAGGTTCAAAGGATACACCCGAGATATTTACATCAAACGCATTAGAAGGATTGTTGATTGGAAAAAGTGAAACTCAGAAGGAACCATCACCCATTGATCTTCTCGTAACGAATATACCTTTCGTATGTAAATATCTTTATGCTGGTGCTTTCAGACTTGCCAGATTTTCACGTCTCTCTATTTTTAGACCGATAGCATTATTAAACATTCGTCCAACCCGCTTGAGGGATTTTCATTAAATTCACGTGTTCAGTGGAGGAACAATACATTAAACGCAAATTTCCCAGTAATCCCATCGAAAAAATATCCGTCAATTTTTACCCTTTATAACACAAATGATGTTGACCTCGCACTTTATTGGAATATACCGACTCTCCTAAGACAAGGACATCATTATATAATTGGTATTAATCTTGGAGTTCAGCAAAATCCTTTTCAATCGCCGAACATACTAGCATCGTCTAATAGGGCATTGTTTGAACAAACGGTGCGAGAACGTGCAGCACTTGTTAACAGCCTACTGAAAAATAAGAACTTCAAGGATGAGAGTCCATTAAAACTAATCATACAATGTGCGGACACCCTTGAACACGATTTCCAAAGTCAGAGGTTGGTGTGTTACGAATATTTGATTCAGTATTAAACCAAGATGTTGATGGTTGAAATCCTTAAACTTTTAGGTTTTGCATTATTCCTATCAAGATACTGATTAAAAATTGTTTGTGGAATAAACGAATCGGGTTTACATTGGAGATGCTACCGCCTGACAGTGAAACAAGAAGGTAATTGGAGATTTGTATATTTTGACTTCCTACTAAATAAATAATTAAAAATAATATATGATACAGCACATTTCACAAATCTGTACATCCGACCGTGTTTCAGTGGATCGGGTCAACGTTTAAATATGCCACCCTGTCAGCCGGTGAAGTACAAACCTTTGTGACCAAAGCTTGTTTCGTTAGATCTGGAGTGTACGACGTAAATCGATGGAAGTTGACAGTTAATTTTGATCCGAGCGCCACGGAGAATGAAAGCACTTCTGGTAGTATATCAACACAACACGAGCATCATGAAAGTGGAACGGGAGTGAAAGGGTATGTGCAGATGCCAAACACACCGCACCTCTTAACAATTGTGAATAAAAAAATGCCATCGATGTAGTAAGTTAGCAGCAAGTAATTTAAGTAATTTCATTTCCATGGCTTATATCCTCCTATCAACGATTGTAAAATTAATAATAGTTAAAAGAATATTTATTGCAATGAACACTTTACGTGTTAATGCTTTTTGAAAATCGGTACCTTATTTATTTGTTAATGCATAGAAGTTTCACTACATACAGTATACCAATAAATAATAGTATCATTAATATCAACAAACTTCTATAACACGTAAGGGCAATCAAAATAATACGTTTGTTGTAATAAGCTAAATGTTTTTAAACACGTGTCTCAAGTAATAATATACAGTAAAAGGGGAAGATTGCATCGCAGTCCTTCAGTTATCCCATTAATTGTGAATTATCATCTGGCGGATATTTGGTCTGACAAAAAGTCATTAGTCTCTTTATCGATTGAATCCATTTACGAGTAGTTTCGTCGTTAAGTACATGAGCAACTTGGGCCGAGAAAATCTTTTCACGTGCAGAACGTTCGTGAATACTGAAAATAATGATAGTTTTATTGTATCTTGAATATGCACGAAAAAATTAGAATTGTATATACTAATAATAAAATTGATATTTACCCAACCATGGTAACCCCTAAATGAAGGGAAATAAATATTGAATTAGCAAAATGATGGGGAATGTATAAAAGTGATTAAATATTATTATTATTAGCGTACCAATTGGCCACGGTGCATTTCCGATAGATAATCGTAAGTATGCGTCATTTGCATTCATGTATTCACGAATTTGCATGTAATGGGTGATTTCTGTTACTCGAGCTAGTACATCAGGTTCAATTGACTAAATAATAATAAATTTTCGTGATTATCTATCGCTAGAATACTCGAAGAGTAGTAAGTAGATCAATAGAGATAGATAGATGACTTGCCTTTTTTTTCAATGACCTAAAGAATGGTTGCATGTATTCGGTTGTCTGTCGTTGAGTAGCGGCTGCGAGTTTTCCTTGTGTGCTTCTTTTAACATGGTCCGATCGATTATTCATTTCTT